AGGACCTTTCATGCCTTGTGACCTCATCGCAGATTGTATTCGAATTGGATCCCACCATACTTTGATGAAGAACTTTATGAGATGTAGAATGAAAAACACACACAGGCTACTTAGAATGAAAATTATCAGGGCTTCCATTACTACCACAGCCAAATCCCTTCAACTACTAGAGTTATTGTCAACCCAGTCATTCACTCATTGACAAGGGCTCAGGAAACGTGAGAGGTTTGCAGAGGAAATAAAATATGTACTAGAGTTTTGTTTTGGTGTCAGAGGGAAAAAGATACTTTATTTTGATAATCACATGTTCTTTTCTGCCCAGGTCACATTCTAAAATAAACCTGTCCAGAACATCAACGAGAGATTCCATTTTTAACCAGGCAGCTGACTTACTCAGTTGTCGCAAGCCTCTCAGCTAAGGGATGTGCAAAGAAAAAACGTTTGTCTGATAGCGATTTCTTGTTTTTTTTTAATTCTTCACCGGCGATGTAACTTTTCCTTGCTGGTACCGCTCTCCCTCTGAGGATCCCACTGCCACAGGACCACAATTGATGGTGATCTTTTCTTTTTATTCCCTTTTCTATTAGAATAAGTTCAAATCTGTTAGTTTTATAGTTTATACCGCTACTTGTGGACGCAGCCCTGAATTATTATTTTTTTTAATCAAAAATGACTTTCAGCATACGTGTTTTTACGGATGAAAAAAAATCTGTAATAGGATCATAGACTCAACTACATAAAATTAGTTGTTAGATGATTTAAATAAAAAATTAAAAGAGATAAAGATTAACTAATTATTAAAAAAAATTACCGTAACTTGATTTTTTTTTAAATAAAACAAATAATATAATTTGATTCCCAACTTATTAAATATGAAAGAATAAAGTTAAATAAAAAAATATCTAAATTAATCTGAATTTGAATAATAAATTTATAACTCGATCAATAAAATCTGAATTTGAATAATAAATTTATAACTCGACCAATAAAAACTAAGTCAACTCAGCATAAAAACTAAGTCAACTCAGCATGAAAAGAATTGAATATAAGCCGTTGAATGTCATTTGCACTTTTTATTTTATTTTTTGTTATTATCACTACAATGTGGTTTGACGTGCATTGGTATGCTTTACAAACACCAGAAAAGCAACATTGTTAACAAAAGCAAGCACCTCCTCTCTCAAGCTTTCTCCATGGAAAGCGTGATTGGCTAGTTTACTCATTTTTAACCTCTGGATAACACAGGTCCATCCACAAATAACTTTCTGATGCATTTCCGGGACCCTCCTTTGGAAAATGCGTCCGCACTGCCGTTGAAAATCTCCTTAACCATCTGAGGATCTGTGACCACCAATTGAGCTCGAGTACCATGCCAATAAAGGGGGCTAGTCTCTGTACCAATTTTCAGATGTATTATTGCAAGTTGGTTCAAGAATTCTACCGAGAACACTATCACTGAAGATCCTAATCAATTATTATTCTTACTACAGAGCTTGACCCATGAATAAATGTGTGGCTGAGCTTTTGGTAGTGTATGATGAGACAAATGATCGATGGGATTGTTCAAGCTCTCCTTTCCCTTGTTGTTTATCTATTTTGTGTTTCCATGGAGGACTATGTAAGTAGCACCTTTTTATTCCTTGTGATCTCATAATTGATCGCAAGAAAATTGGATTCCACCATACTTCTTTAAAGGACGTGCAAGAATATAGAGGAGGGAGCAACACAAACAAACCTGAAATCCAATTTATTTTTTTGATAAAACTAAATTTAATGGAAGAAAACAACACCTAAAAGATTAAAAAAATTCTCTAGAAGCTCCAGTTACTACTTCCAAGCCCGACTTTTACTAAAATACATGGCAGCCCAATCCCATGCTGGGTGCATGCCCGAACTCAATAATAAAAACCCAAGCTCACCATCTAGCCACATGTCTACTGGTTGGCGGATGCTCAACTTTGCTGGGTACACTGCCTAGCTAGTGCGGGGTGCACTGCACAGCAACTTTGGTAGGGTGTTGGGAGTGACATACGCAACCTTGTTAGGTGCGCTACCCAAATATTGTTGAAGGTGTACCTCACAACCTCGTGGACTTGAATTAGTATGTGTGAACCTGTTTTTCATCTTTAATGGGTTTAGATATATTTCTCGAGCCCAACACCCTTTTAAAATTTTTTTTCCAGACCTCACATGAATCATTTAGTGTTTTATATTTATTTAATATTTTTTTTAATAAAATATATTTTAAAATATTATAAAGATAAAATTATATTTTAACTTTTTATCTTCGCAAACAATAAAATTCATGAATTATAAATATATCAAAAAAATTTTAAACTTGAAGTTCATAATTTTTTTATTCTTAAAACTTTTGATATATATATATATATATATAATTTTTTTTAAATATCATTATATTTTATCTCTCTTTAAAATTACTAATTTACATATCAAATTTTTTTTATTTTTATAAGAGATTTATATAAATATCAGTTATTATTCACCTTAACTTATTAACTTATTACTAGTTTTTAACTACCGAATATAATGCTATTAAATATCTTAACTAAAAAAATAAATAAAATGATTTAAATTAATAAATTATCTAAAATATCGATTTTATTTCTAAACATATTGAAATTAAGGCTCATCGCTTGTTGTCTACATCGGGTTACTTTCGATGATACAAGGTTCCTAGGGATCTCAAACTTGTAGTGGGAGGTAGAAACTAAACACTAGACTTTGGCTTTACTGGCAGAAGAGAGAGAGAAACAACTGTACATCAACTATAACATGGTTTTGTTTCATTGACTTCCGGTAATGCCACTGGGTGCATGTCTTTGATGTGATAGCAAGAGATTTGTAGCTCAAATACATCTAAGACGACACGTTCCCCTCTTGTTTTGGTTTTAGACCATGCAGCTAGTTTTGTTCTCATGCCTCTGTCTCCCACCTAAGATATTAATTATCATAATTTTTAAACCGAGCTCGGTAGCTGATCCAATTCAAGGTCCGGGTTCAGGTTTTGGCTGGATCATTAGGTTTTGACCGGGTCGAACGGGTCAGCTGAGTCAATTTTTATTTTTAAAAAAATTCAAAACGACGTCGTTTTAATAAAATAAATAAATAAAAGTCAACGGGTTACCACCGGGTTTTTGACCGGGTTTTGCCGGGTCGTCCGGGTTTCCGGGTCAACCCACCGGGTCGGCCGGGTCATAGCTTACCTTATTTTTTCATCAACCCGACCCGTTTCCAGCCCCGGGTCAGCCGGGTCCCAGGTCAACCCGCCGGGCCGGGCCGGGTTTTAAAACTATGTTAATTATTATTATTATTATTATTATTATTAAAATAATAATAATAATAATAATAATAATACTAATAAAATAAAAATCAATGCCTGTCTTAATATATTAACCGCCATCGTTGTAAACCATTCTGCATGGAAACAGAACAAACTAGGTAGGCTGAACCAAAAAACAAGAATTGCCAACCAATATGCTTCTTTTGTTAGCTTTACTCCCAGCTTTTTGGTCACTCTCATAAAACTCTTCACATTTGTGAATTACTAATCTCAATCATAGTTATGATATCAGGAAAATTATCACGTGAGGAAATCCATGAACTATAGAAATTGCATGAATGCAAATTAATTGTAGTAATTGATAAGAAAATTTTCCTCTTCCATTTGAACAGCAGAAATTTCATGATTACATTCTTGGGTAGGTTAATGAATTTATATATTTGATTATCTTCTAAAATTCAAAAGATATAAATTGTAAGTTATTTAGTGTTTGAAATAATGATTAACTTCTTCTTTTTAATATAAGGAACTCTAAGCTTATAATGCAAGTTTTGATCACCTATAAAAACAATTCTTATAAGAGGGGGACTTAAATACCCTCCAATGATAAAATTAATATTTTTATGTGAAATGTATTAAATAACTTAAAAAAAATTTAAATTCTAGAAATAAAAATGTTTGTTATTGAGTTTTAAGTTTATTAGTGCTATGAAATCTAAATATTTTTATCTTAAAAGATAAGAAGTTGTACATCATGATGATTCAAAGAAATCATTTACGTTGAAAAGTTCTCTATTTTCAGCGATATTAATAAGAGACAATATCTCTTATATGTTATAAATGAGATAGTAAATATAATAAGTCTCTTAAAAGGCTTTATATACATGTATGAAATCATTATCTTAATATGACTAATTATTTTAGATGGAGAAACATGATAGTCTATTATATATATAGTTAATTGTATATAAAAAGTCTTAGAATTTAGTAATGTTTAAATTCTTTAGGTCTAGTCTTGAATTTGACTGATTGTAAAGTTCAAGTATTTTAGGTTTGATATTTTTGCTAAACTTATTTGATTTTAAAAAAATTTATTTATAAAAACTTAACAAAAAAATCAACTCATCAATTGCCCCCGTACCTTTCTTTAATGCATCGTCTAGCATTTAAAAACTTAGGAGATGTTAAGGGTGAACATCAGCTGGTAGATGTCTTATCGTCTTTTAGAAAAATATGGTATAACATTATAGATTTATAAAGATTTTAAAAGAAAAGAAAAATGCTTTTAGAAAGATCACCCGATGACGTTAAATAAATATTGTAGGATTTTAGCCTTTTTATGGATACAGAGGAGGTGCCATCTATTTTGTATTCATGTTTTTTTTTTTTATATATACTCTTCTTAAATGTTGTTGATATAACATGGGATAAAAATTTTCAATATTTTACAAGAAAAGAGCAGTTTCTTTTTAAATTTTGTTATTATTAACTTGATTAACTGTAAAGTTCAAACACTTTGAATTCAATATATTGTTCAGATCCACATCACATTGATTGGGTACCAAGTTCAATTTGATTTGATTTAAGAAGATTTTTATTTATAAAAATCTTAAGAAAAATTAACTCATCAATACTGGATGCTCAATAATCTTTCGATTCCTGATATCTGGAATAAGAAAAATACAATTACAGTGAAGATTTACAAGGTCTCAAGCATGATCTGGACTCCATGTTGTGGGGACATCGCAAGAAGGTGAGCTGGTGAGTGGATATACGTTGGAGATAAAGTAAACCTGTAATGTTGCAGGATCATTGCAAGCGCAATCTTTGTTTCAGTAACTGAGAAGTTTAACCCCACACAAGTCCGAGGTCCCAAGCCAAATGGAAGAAATGCACTCATGTTATTGTTTGTAGCTTTAGCGACCCCATCAGCAAATCTCTCTGGCTTGAAAAGGTGAGCATCTTCTCCCCATATTTCAGGGTTATGGTGAGCTACAAGAACTGGAATATAGATTTCTGTATTTGCTGGAATAATTAGCTTCCCCAATCTTACTTCCCTGCGGACCATCCTTGGGATGTGAACAGCAGGAGAATATAATCGTAGAGTTTCATTCATAATCATGCTCACCTATAGTAGGAAACGAGAGAAGGTTTGGATGAAATTACTGAAAATAATGTACTTGTTCAAATTTCCAAAGTTGGAGAGAATATAAATTTCTAAAGCTGTTAAAAGCTAGAATAAATTAAGTACTAAACAACTAGAATATTAATGATGTGTTGTATTGAGGATGCATGACATTTCATCAAAAATATCACTGACATTTTTTAAATTTCTTGCTAAAAGTCGATCTTATTCTAGTTATGCCATGCTTACCGTATTCAGTTTTGTAATGCCTTCTGGGTTTGGATTTTGCAGGCCAAATAATTCAAGGACCTCCCTCCTGGCCTTATCCTGCCAATCTGTATGAAATGCTAGAAGAAGAACAGTCCAGGTGAGTGAGGTTCTTGTTGTTTCATGTCCAGCAAAATAGAAGGTTTTGCATTCATCAATGATGTCTTCAACTGATATTCTTTTTGCCTTATCTGCTTCATGATGAGCCAACAATAGTATACCAAGAAAATCACTTCCAAAGTCACCCCGTTTTCCCTCCATTGCTGCTTTCTCTCTATTCTTAATCATATTTATGAAGCAATTTTTTATCTCTTGCTCGAGCTTGTCTGATTCAATGTCATCCCTCGTTTTCACAAATTTTCTACAGTGGAAAATGATAATTCAAATTCACAATGGTTTAGCACTTACAAAAGGTAGATTAATGGATTGGTCGGAAAAACTTCAAAAAGATAACAACATATTGGCTATTAATGAGATAGGTAGGTATATAATAGCTATTTGTGAGGAGGGTAGGCACCTGTGCCAGTAGCTCTATAATTATAAATTAGGTGTGTGTAGTGGATGATGATTGTGCGTCGCTTTACTGACAATACAACCGCCTTGATAATTAGGCTTGAGTTGTATAATAATAGTAGATATGATTGCGTAGTGCCATACTAATAAGGCATGTATTCATAACTTTACAAATTAGGTGTGCCATGTGTTTGGGCAGCAAAAACATATATATGACATTATTATTATTTTGCTTTCTTTTCCCTTTCTTCTTTGTATATTGTGTGATCAAGTAAATTTGAAAATTAAAGTTGAGAATCGTTAAAAAAAGAAAAGTTATTGATGTGTATATTACACTCATTAACATAAATTTCTTCGGGTTCTAGCAGTTCTAGCAGTATGTATAAGATTATTTTAATTTCAATAGAAACCTGTTGAATTTGTATCAACAAGCCTTCTCTCATTGTATGACGCAAGTTCCATTCAAAGACACAATAACACAATGATGGCTTGCCATTTTTTCTCTCACTTTTTTCTCTTTTTTGGGACGGGAGCCTACTTGAGCTAACTTCTTTTGATAACCTCTCTTGTTCATGCTTATTTTTAATTATTGGGCAATTAGGCCTTCGGCCCAACGTTTTGACCGGATAATAAGCTATCCAATCTTTGTTTGTTTACTACATGGGCCTTTTCGCCCATGACAAACTATTTATAACTTATATTTTTGGCCACCACAAGTTCACAAAATATATAGACACCAAGTTAGTTAGGCACACATAGATAGATGGAAATGGAGAAATGTAGGAAACATACCCAATTCCAGGAATTGTAATCTTATAATGGTTCCTGACAATAATGTCACCCATTCTGGTTAACATGTCAAATACATGTTGTCCTTCCAGGTAGCTGCTTCCAAAAGCTGTCCTGGAAATAATTTCTGATGTCAAAAGCTTGAACTCTTGAAACACGTCAATCTCCTTGCCATCATGCTGTCTCCATCTTTTTAGCATCACCTCGACACTGGCAATCATTGCCGGAATCATGCTCTGTGAAAGAAAACAAGAGAAACTCTTTGATTGATATGAGTTGTTTTAATCTGTATGCACTTTAAAAACAATTAAGAAAACTGGAAAACAGTACTACTTTCAAGCACTCTGCATGGAAAGCATGGTTGGATAGTTTTCGCAGCTTGAACCATTTTTCACCATTGGCTGCTACAATTCCATCCCCCAGAAGCTTCTTCATGTAAACTGGAAGATTTCTTTTCGGAAATGCCCCGTTTTTATTGTTAAAGATTTCTTTAATCAGATCAGGTTCCGTCACAACCAGTTGAGCTTGAGAACCATGCCAATACAGGAAAGTCATCCCTAGACAAGATTTACATACAAGAGAGAGAATTTGTAAAATTCCACAAAGTTGGTGTTTTGGATTTAAAAAAACTGCTCAGAACGAAGCTTTGTTATTGATTTACCATAGAGCTTGATCCATGCATGAATGTGTGGCTGTACTATCGGGAGCAACTCATGACATGATAACTCCATGGGAGTGCTTTGGATACTCTTTCTCATATTGACGATCTCTTTGGTGTTTCCATGGATGAATTTATAAGAAGGGCCTCTGATTCCTTGTGACCTCATCATGGATTGTATGCGAATTGGTTTCCACCATACTTCTTTCAAGAACTTTACAAGAATTGAGAGGAAGGCTAAACACATGCAACATGTGATATAGAATGCCAGGTTTCCCATTAATTGTCGATGGCTTCAACTAGCTTGGAATACAAAATTGGATTGCACTCCTTGATCATATTATATGAAGGATTTAGAGGAGATTGTTATATTTTGGCAGAGGATGAGGAAACTAGATTTGTTGTATATATTTACTGGACGGAAGTAACAAAGAAGGCACTCGGTTGCTAGCTAAATTTCTTTCAAGAGATGTAGTAATTATTGGATAGCATTGCCGGCTTCCATGGCAAAACCAGTCTAATTAACTAGAAAACATTGTAGTCATGCCAAAACCTGACAGGGACACATAATTAAGCCCCATAATTTTATACATATGCCGCTTTCACAGTTAAGTGGCATTTCTTGCTTTCACACTGAGGACGATGACATGGTATCATTATTCTTGTATGCTGTAATGCTCCTATGATAATCTTTTACTAGTATTTTTTTTTGGCACATGCCTTGCAGAATCATTCAGAGTTCAATCTTTATTTCATTATATGCAAAGTTCATGCCCACAAAACTTCTAGGTCCCATACTAAATGACAGAAATGCTGAAATATCATTTTTTTGTAGCTTTTGCCGCCCCTTCTGCAAATCTCTCAGGCTTGAAAATGTGAACATCATCTCCCTATAACTGAGGGTCATGGTGAAGAACTACATGTGAAGCAAAGACCTCCATATTTTCTGGAATTATTAAATTTACCAATCTCGTTCACTCTTTTAACTTCACGTGAACTTAGAGATTCATTGATGACCATGCTCATCTACAAAGCAAGAAATAAAACAAAAGAAATTAGTTAAAGTACTTTGAACATGACATAATAAGAAGTTGATAGATTCTGTTAGACTCTATAATGGTTTAATTTTGCTTACGGTCTTCAATCTTCAGATGCCTTTTGGACTTGGATCCTGTTGTCCAAACAATTCAAGGACATCGTTCCTTACTTTTTTTTCTGCCAATCTCCGTGCATTGCAAGCAGCAAGACAGTCCAGGCAAGCGCACTTGTGGTCGTCTCTTGTTCTACAGTGTAAAAGTTCTTGCGGTCATCAATCAAGTCATCTATTGCTATCCAATTCGTCTTATAAGCACTGTGAGAGACCTTCACTAGTTGTCAAAGAAAATCACTTCCATAACCATCCATTCTCCCTGTCCTTGTCTCCTCCTCTCTTTTCTTTATCATCTTTATAATGCTGTTTCTTATGCTTTGGCCATGTTTCTCTGCTTCAATATCATCTTGTGTCTTAAAGTATATTCTGCAACAATAGAAAGTGGTTGATGTTAAAAACTAAACAAGTGAAAACAGCTACTCCATCATAACACTTGTATGGAGTGCTTTTCCAGTTGGAGATCAAGGAGATTAATCTTTCGTCTTAAAAAAGTTTTTGGAATAAAGGAGAACCATCTTCTTCAACATTTCAAATATCTGCTGCCCTTCCAAGTAGCCGCTTCCGAAAGCTGTCCTGGAAAAAACAATTCTGCAAAAGTTCAGCCAAATACAACAAATGACACATGAGAAGCTTTATTTCCTATCAGTTTACAGTTTCAGACAATAATACTGCACAAAATTATTTACCCCCCTCAACTACAGGAAATCTTATCATGACCTTTTTCTCCGCTTGTAAAGCATGGTTGTATAGTTTTCGCGGTTTGAGCCATTTTTCACCCTTGGCTCCTACAATTCCATTCCCCAGTAACTTCTTCTCTAAACTGGAAGCTTTCTTTTCAGGAATGCTCTGTCTTTGTTAAAGATTTCTTTATCAGTTCAAGTTACGTCAAAATATGTTCATCTTGAATACTAGTGGATTTGGCCTCAATTTTATAGTTTACAATAATCTACCTATCAACTTCTAGACAAAGAACCCTCTATCCTAACAATATTTATCACTGAGATTTTATAATGCTGCATAAATTAAGACGAACCCCAACTCTTCATATGACTTTATTGCTTTTCTGTTTTCATTCACTTCCTAAGAAGCTGGAACACTTTTTCTTTCTTTTAGAGCTAGAATGCAGAAATGTATCCTCTCTAGGGGTTACAGGGAATAAACAAGTCGATGAAATGAATGATTATTGAGGCATTTCGCGCACCCATCCATGGCATTAAAAGCTTGCATACAAGCACATGCCCAACTTGGTATCTTTTGTTCTGTTTTTCACACTGCCTTGATCATGACTTGAAGTCCATGTTGTGGGCATATTGCAAGAACGAGAACTGGTGAATGGACATAATTAGGTGATAGGGTGATCCTGTACCGTTGCAGAATCATTGATAGTGTAATCTTTATTTCATTATATGCAAAGTTCATGCCCACACAATTTCTAGGTCCCATACCAAATGGCAGGAATG